CGTTCTCCACAAAAGGGGGCTGAGTCAACAGACTGCCCCCCTGCGAAGCCCCACAGCCGGGAAGCAGTCAGGACTTGACCTGGGGGTCCCACGTCCCCACCCGGGGTCTGTCAGCAGAGGACCACCGGGGTCACTGCCCCCCAAGCTTCTCTCAGTGGGTATAGCCAAGGCTGTCCCTGCAGTGAAACGTAACCAGGAATACAACAGCTTCTGTCAGCCCTGTGGGTCCTTTAGGAAACCCTGAAGCTTGGGGACCCCAAATGGCGGGGGAGAGTCACAATCAAACTGTGGCTGTGCTTACAGGCTGGGGGAGTCACCAGCCCTGCAGCCCTCTGGGTCTCTGGCATCACTGCCCCCACAGGGACAGAGGGTCACCCCATGCACGCGACGACCCCCCCGCCCCCGTCCACCTGGACCAAGCCACGCCCCCACTTCCTAGCTCTCGGACCCCGCTGCGTCCTGGCGGGTGACCCTTCTAAGCCTCAGTTTGCCCATGCACGTGGGTGGTTGTGAGCAGCCAGGGAAATGAGCCCGCCCCGGACGGGGCCCGGTGCCCTCGGCGCTCAGCAAATGTGTCCCTGCCGGGACTGAATGCTCACCGTGGGGGCCAGCTTGTTCCAGGCCCGGTGGTGGATTCTGGCACTTGACTCTCCCCACTGCCCCCCGAGACACTGACTTATGATCCCCACAGGGTGACTTCTTATTGCCACGGATGAGGAAACTGAGGCACAGAAGAGTCGTCTGCCTAACCAAGTCAGGAAGTGAGGGTTCAGACCCAGACCCAGATATCTGAAGGGGAGATGCGGCAGGAGGAGGGGGCGCAGGGGAGACACCCCGAGGGCCGGGGGTCACCGGGCCGCCGAGCTCCTCCTCCCGAGGCCAGAGGCCGGGGCCAGCAGCCGGCAGCCGGGTCTGTCCCCTCCAGGGACGCCGCGGGGTCTGTCCTGCATCTCTGGGCACGCGGCCGCGGTGGCCCGACGCTGGGGTGCTGACCTGCATCCGGACCCCGGGGGTAGCCTCGGATCCGCAGGTTGTCGAACTCCTGGCACCTGTCGCTGGTGTCGGCGTCTCGCACCCGTGTGCAGAGTTCCGAGACCAGGACGATGGCCCTCCGGCACAGGTCGTCGTCGTAGTCCCCCGACATGGTGGCGGCGGGGCCTGTCCTCGGGGTGGCGCGAGGGATGCCGGGGGACACGGGCGGGGGGGGCGGGTCAGGGGCAATGAGGGAGGAATGGAAAGGGGGAAATAAATTAGGGGCCGAACAAGAGGACTGAAGTTAGGGGGCAGACCAGAGGAGGTCGGACAAACGGGGGGACAGGGGACAGCTTGACATGAACAGATAAGGGGACAGGGACGGGGCAGATGGGCGGGGGAAGAACCCAGAGGGACCGGTGGGGGGACAGTGGTCCGGGAGGCACGGGGAAAGGGTGGGCGGACAAGGAGACCAGATTAGGGCGCGCAGGGAAGACGGGGTCTCGGCACGGACCGACGGGGACACTCATTCGTCGCCGCTCATTCAGCAGCGATCAATGAGCGCCAACGACATGCCAGGCGCTGTGCCAGCTGCTGCAGATCCGGCGGGGAACACACCCCACGCGTCCCCCGACTTCTGGTGTCACGATCCAATGAGAGGAGACAGGCGTGAACAAGTCACCACACACCTGAAGACAGGACCCTGGGCCGGGAGGCCCGAAACAGACCCAGCAGGCACAGGGGAGCAGCGGGAGGCGAGGTGGGGGCGGGGCCCCCGGGGTTCTCTGAGACCCAAAGAGGAGGTGGAGGGCAGGGCCACCCCGCTGGAGCAGGGAAGAGCATTCAGCACCACAGGAACAGCGCAGCGTGGCCGCCGGGAAAGGGCTTGGCCAGCTCCAGATATGGAAGGAGGCCAGATGGGAGTAGACGGGGGAGCGGCGGGAGGGCTGGCAGGCAGAGGCTGAGGGACGGAAAGGTTCTGTGGTGCTGGCTGGGGAGCCAGGACAGCAGGGGCCAAGCTCGGGGAGGGAGAGGCAGCCGGGCGTCGGGGGCAGGGAGGGGCAACTGGGGCCCAGGAGAGCCAGACAGCAGGGACACACAGGAGGTCCGTGTGGGAGGGAGACTTGGGGTGCAAGCCACAGATCATCTGGTGGGAAATTCAGAGCGCAGAGATGGGTGGGCAGCCGGGCAGAGAGGAGCAGGGTGTGGACAGGATACCTTTAAGAGAAAACCAGGGGGCTGGAGGATGGATGGGGTGCAGAGATACAGGGTGGACGGGAGCACAGGGTGCAGAGGGAGGGAACCAGAGACCGGGTCACCGGAAGGTTGGGTGGTGGGGGAGTTGGAGGGAGGGAGGGAGGCAAAAATGAGGGGACTAAGAGCAGAGGTGGATGTGGGCAGAGAGCAAATTGGCCGCACGTGGTTTGGAGTCAGACATGGGAGCTGGGCTGGAAGGAGGGTGCAGGGGGAATTGGGGACAGACAGAGCAGGACTGACAGATGGACAGAGGCCGCGGGCGGCTGCAGCGGCCAGGACTCTGCGACCGGCTGGGTCAGACTCACCTGCGCTTATCCCTGCCGTGTCCTGGATGGCAGCCTAGGCGGCGGCTGGCGGCAGCCCATGGGGGTTGTAGGGCGGACCAGGGGCTGCAGACCTGGCCCCACGCGCCAGGTGGTGAGAAGGGGTGCCGGGTCTGGGGGGCGGGGGGAGAAAAAGGTCGATCTGAACCTCACATCTCGTCTTACTCAGGCCAGCTGCTCGACCCCAGGCGACCTCCAGGAGGTCCAGTCACCCCCTCCCTTCCACCTCCCGGCCCCCAGAGCCCGCTGAGCTCAGACACTACAATTCCCGGCAGGCCTCGCGCTCGCGCTGCTGCGGCTCTATAGAGCCGGCGCTGCAGGGACTGCTGGGAGTTGAAGTCCTGAATGCCTCTCCCGGCTGCAGCGAGGATGGGAATTTTTTCGGAGGTGGGGGGGTTAACAGATGCCGGGGTCCCAAGGCGCTGCAGGGGACAGAGGAATGATGTCCGGGACCTAGAGAGGTCGCGAGGCCCTAAACCCTGAGGGCCCATGGAGTGGGTAAGCGAGTCCTACGCCCGAGTGCTCAGTGGGCGAGGACTGGGGTACACCCAGGTGTTTCGGGACGCCCCCTCCTCCAGAGCCACGTGCCCCTCCCGGGGCAGCCGGCAAGCGCTGCAGCACTCCCACTCCCCGGCCGCAGCCCCGCGCGCCCGTGCACCTACCCCCGCCCCCACGCGCCGGGGCCGCCCCCCGGGATCTGGCTGGGGCGGGGGCTGTGGTGGGGGAGGGGGAGGAGCGGACTCACCGGAGCCGCCGCGCCGCCGCCGCAGCCCCGCGCGCCCGCCGCGGTGCCCGCTCGGCTCCTCCCCTCGCCCCTGTCGCAGGTCCGCGGCTCCTCCCCTGCCCCCCCTCCCGCTTCCCCTCCGAACCTGCGGCTGGAGAGCCACATCGCGCGGCCGCAGCGGACGGCGACGGTTGCCCCGGACCGCGGCGTCAGAGCCCCGCGCGCTTCCCCTGTCCGACCCCCGGAGCTCGGGCCGAGCGCCCCTAATACCCGGGGTCCCGGCCCTGCCCATCTTTTCGCAGACTGGGACGTCCGGGCCCCCAGTCACCTCCTCTGCCAGGACCCCTGAACTCCTAACCCCATTCCATTCTCAGATCCAGGAATCCGGAGATGGGGTTCCCGCCCCCCACCTCCCCGGCATTTAGGACTTCAAATCCCACCCTCAGACCCGCCGGGTCGGAAGAACCCCGGCTGGCTTGGGGGCGGGGAGGCGGAGCTACGGTCTGGCCGCCGGCCGCGGGTGGGGAGGCCCCTCCGGCACCCGGCTTTGAATCCTGCCGGGGCGCTGCCGCCCCAGCGTGCTCGCGCTCTTTGGTCTGCTCGGCCTTCTCGTCCACAGCAGACGCCACCTTTGTCCCCTAAGGGATCCAGGGGGGTGAGAAAACAGTCGCTGGAAACTACCGCACTGGCACCAAGTAGGTGCTTAATGAGCGTTTCTTCCAAGCAGCCAGTAACGGCTCATGGTGGATTAATAGCCGTTCAGGATAATTGCCGCGGCGGCCACGCTAAGTGCTTTGGGGCATTTTCTCATTTAATCTCACGCTGGTCCTAGGAGGTGGCAGCAATTATGTTAGTCCCATTTCACAGAGGAAACAGCAGAGGCTCAGGGAGGCAAATCCCCAGAGACAGACCAGAGTCACAGCAACGGCCCGCTGGGGTGACTGGGGGGCCCCCCTCATCCTCAGTGTATCCCCTCCCAGTGACACCCCTAAAATTAGATTCTAATTTTAGATTATAGTCTAATTAAAAACCCAGAATCCCGCCTGCTGCTTCTGCGAACACAATTTTAAGACAAGTGTGGTAGGAGTTGATCCCTAATTCCAGCTAGGTCACCCCCCACCCCACTGCTGCCTCTATACTTTTGATCATTGAAAAACTCGAAGTTGAGCTGGCTGGGTCCAGGGAACGGGATTTTGTTGTAAACAGAGGTAAACTTCCTGCGAACGTATTTGCTCTTCCTTCTGATTTTCTTCGTAGCATTTTCCTTCCTCAGCGGACTTGTGAGAATACCGCATATACTACAGGGGACACACATCTGTTATTATGTGATCACGGCCTGTTTATATTAGCCAGACACCTTCCAATCAACAGCAGGCTATTCATAGTTCTGGGGGAGTTAAAATTATACCTGGATTTCTGAGTGAGAGGAGGTGGGTGTCCCCAACTGCACCCGGTCCCCTCCCCCATTGTTCAAGTTTCAATCTGCAGTCTTGTCATTCTGTAGAATTTCCCAGAAGCGCCTCCCAGGTCCCCGGGAATCCTATCTCCACTCTGCTTGCATTTCCCCAGATGGACCTACAGTTGCATCAGGAAGCTCGCATGGGGTACACGCCCACGATGCGTGTGTGCGTGCAGCTCCCCCAAACCCAGTCAGAGCCATACCCTGGCACCCAGCTGGGGCCCCTGGGGCATGGCTGCTGGCTCCCCAGGGAGAGACATGGGAAAGCAGTATGCAGGAGCACACAGTCAGAGCTGGGCTGGCCGGACACGTTTCCTGCACGTGCTCACACGGATGGCCCGGGGGCACAGGAAATACAACTCATCTTCACGTACAGGCAGAGGGGTACAATCAAACCACGATGAGAGAGCACCTCACTCCATGAAAATGGCCCATCCCACACAGCCCGGAGCAAGTGCTGGTGAAGGCGGGATGGACTGAATAGCCTGGTCCAGCCTCTACAGAAAACAGTATGGCCGCCGCTCAAAGGATTAAACACACATCTACCCTGTGGGCCAACAACCCCAAGCCTAGGAACTACCCAAAGGATGCTCATCTGTGTTCACTGCAGCGCCATGTGCAACAGCCAGGTCCCGCAAGCAGGTGAGGGCTGTGTACGTGGTGGAATACTACACAGCCATCAACAATGATGGCATAACATTATCTCTGAGGAGTGGCTGCTGTTCAATGTGACGTGTCAGGACAAGGACAAATGCCAGGTCACTTCCCTTCTATGTGGACTGTAGAGAAACAAAGCAAAGGCGCTGGCGAGGGGTAACCAAACCCTAGAAATCTGATAGTGAATTGAGTCTCCCAGAGGGCGATCCTGGGAATGGGGTTAGAGGGGACCCAGTGAGCTATGTGGGGGACTGTGGGTGCTTGGTGGAAGCTATGGGGTGGTGGCATGCACCTGAAGAGGCACGAACCTGTACCTTGAGTCTTATACTATGTTGTACCTCAGTAAAAAAGTACCCCCCAAAAAGACACCCCCTCCCCAAATAATACCCAAAAAACACACACAGACTCTCAGGCTGCCCAGGCACTGAGGGGCAGGCTACGGCCTGGTCCCAATTTGTGACTTTAGGGCCAGGCAGTCTCGTTGCTGTGTGGCCTGGGGTGAATTCACTGTCTTCCTAATGCCTCACCTTCCCTTATCTATCATCCCAGACAATGCTTGTTTAAACCTAGACTCATCAAGCTATTTTGAGGGTCAAGTTACAGTCACACAAAGTGCTGAGAAAAAATGGCTAGTGTTTGCTGTTGTCACGATTAGTGACTATTGCAGCTCAGAGAGGGCAAGGGTCCTGCCCACAGTCACACAGCAGGGAGGACTCAGCGCTGAGATTCTAAGTCCCGCAGGGATGAAGCTGGAGCCCTGGGTGCAGCCCTGGTGATGTAGCTGCAGACGTGGAAAGGAGCACAGCGAGGCTGGCAGGAGGGAGTCTGGCGCACTGAGGAGCCCGGGGAGCACCGAGAGCCGCGGGGAGCACTGCTTTGGTTTTAGCGCTGTGTTGCCGCTGCCTGACTCTGGTGCAGGGAGGCGGTCGGCCGACGGGTCAAGAAGGAGATGGATAAATGGGAGGGTGTGTGTGTGTGGGTGTGTTTGTGTGTAGAGGGGTGTCCGGAGAAGGAAGGATGGATGGGTGGGCGGTGGGTGGACTAGTGAATGGCTGAGTGGATGGGCGGGTGGGCGCGCAGGGGACGCGTGGAGGGTGGGCTGATGGGGAGAAAGTGGGTGGGTGGTGAGGTCACGCTTGGTCACGCACGTGTGCCAGCAGCAACGCCTCTTCCGAGAGGAACTTAGCCCCTGGCCTGACCTGGCACTGGCCAGGGGCTGGGGGCCCGGAGCCGAGTCTGAGAGCTACAGCCAGCCCCACCCTTGGTGGCCGGACTGTTGCCGGGGAGGGAAGTGCTGACTCAGGGAACCGTGTCCCAGGCTGCCTGCCAGAGCGGGGCGCGGGCGGCCTGAGAGATGGGGTGAGCGGCTGTTGGGGCCAAGACAGAGGCCGGGAAGGGGCTGGTAGACAGGGACAGAGAAGCAGGCGGGAGGCGGGCGCGCAGGAGGGGAGGGCGCAGAGGGGCCGCCCCCAGAAGGCCCTCCACAGCCTGATTCTTGGCTCTGCACGGAGCAAACTGCCCGAAGGTCAAGGTCTGGTCCCTAGAAAGCCGGAGCAGATGCTCACCGGGCAGGGACACTCAAGGCAGAGACGCTGGGAGGGCAGGAAAGATGAGGGCCAGAGACTGGGGCAGAGGCCTGGACCAGGCACTGAGGGCACAGACCACCTGCTGAGAAGAAAGGGGTGCCCCCCCACTCCTGCACTGGGGTCCTGGAGGCCCCCAGCCTCCTCCCTCACATGGAGCCCCTCCGCCTCCTCTGAAGGTACCATGGCAACCAGGCTCCGCCCGCCTCCCCTCCCCCTGTAGAATCCATCCAGTGTCCGTTTGAATCTCACCTGTGTCTACCAGTTCCTGAGACAGGGATGAGCAGAGGGCAAGTGGGACCAGAAAGGGGTGACAGCGGGGAGGGGAGCCAGGGAGCATGGCAAAGACAACTCTAAGAGGAGAGAGATGGGGCGAGCCGGAAAAAGGGAGACTGGGGGGACATGGGGAGACAGAGGGGGTGACAGGGCTAGAGAGAGACAGAAAAGTATGAGGGAGGGAGAGAGAGGGGCCTAGGGAGTCTGTGGGGAACCTGAGCGAGGAACGGGGTGATGGAGCAGGGGCGGGGCAGGGCAGAGGGCAGGGCAGGGAAACCCAGGGAGCGGGTGGGGGAGAGACAGGGAGGGAGGCTCGGAGAGTGGGGAGACAGGCAGGCCGGCAAGCGGGCAGACAGGGGGGCAAACAGAGAGGAAGCCAGGGGGGCAGGGCGGGGTGCACAGAGAGACTGGAGGAGACAAGGAGGGGGGCAGGAAGAGGCAGAGCCCGGCATGTGGGGAAGAAGTTGGGGCTCCCAGGGGCTCGCTGAGGTCAGGGGCACCCAGGCTCCTCGGTGGCCGCAGGCTTGCAGTTCCTCCACGCTCACCCCCTGGCGCTCCAGAGAGGAGGAGGCAGAGGTGGCCCCCGGGAGGAGCAGCTGGGGGCTGCCGGGCCAGAGCTCTTCTCCCCACCCCACTGAGACATCCCCCACCCGCCTCCCCAGGACCCAGCAAGGGGCGGGGCCCCTGCACTCCTGCACCCTGGGCTTGCACAGGGAGGCAGGTACTGAGCCGTCTGTCTGTCCGTCCGCCCGTCTGTGTGGGGTGCTGGGGGTGGGCTTCCTTCAGCCACGCACTGCGTGGTGGCCCTGGCTTCCGGCGCGGCCTGCACTGGTCACTCGTCTTCCAGAGAGAGCCATCCCGGGTCCTTACGTCCACCTGGTCCTGGACGCCCGCTCTGGACTTCAAGCTACATTTCCCATGATCCCCTGCAGTTCCTTGGCCAATGGTTCGGATCCAGAACTACATTTCCCATGAGCGCCTGGGGCCTGAACAATTTTTCTGAGGCCCTTATCCCCCTACATGCTCTGCCCTGACCCCCACATGCTCCTGCCTCCCACATTCATTGGCTTCAGCATCTGTCCCCAAAGCCAGCCCTGTCCCTTGTCCCATCATCCTATGGCCCACTGACACCCCGTCACTGCCCTAGACCCCAGGTTCTACACCTCACCCCGTTCGCAGTCATCAGCCCCCATCCCAATGGGCTCTGCCCCACCCCTACCTCTCCACCCCTCACCCTTGGGTCTTGTCCCCTTCCCTGAGGACCTTTCTCCTCAGTCCCTCCTTCTTCCCCTCCAGCCCATTCCCAGCTTGGTCCCAGGAAAGTCTTCCTGCCACCCCGTGCCAGCCTCTCTCTCATTCACAGGTGCCCCTCATTCCCCACGGCCCCAGCGCAGAGCTCCTGCGCCTCAGCCCCATGCCAGGCCCAGGACTCGAGACTCGTGTTTCGGGGCCCCTCCTTATGCTCTGCTGTAGCACAGCCCATGCATTTGTTCACTCAACATTTATTGAGCAATGTCTGGGCGAGCATGCACTTGGCTGGCAAGTAATAGGACACTGGACTCTGTCAAGCGGCAGGGCGCGTTTGCCATTGACTGAGTCAGCAGCTTGATGATGTCACTGAGAACCCCACGTCGACCTCCCTGCTTTCCACTGGTGGTGCAGGCACCCTTTTGCATACCACCTTTCTTACCTGATGGTCACAAAGTGGCTGCCACAGCTCCAGGCCTCACTTCCACAGTTCTTCATCCTCAGGATCCCCGGATGACCTCTCTTCCTCTCATTGGCCAGCAGCATGACTCACCCACCCACTCCTGTCTCAGCTCTTGGCAAAAGGCATGAGCTCATCTCCATTGTTTCAGTCCGTGCTCCTCAACTCTGGCTAAACACCTGGTGAGAGGAGGAAGAAATAAAAAGAACCACCTCGCCTAACCTCCCCTCAGGTCCAATTTAATGAGAATCTCCAGGACTGGACCGTAGCCTGGATGTTTTTGGCATGCTTGCCGGGTGGTGAGGAAGATCCATAAGGGTTGGGAGACCTTGGTAAAGTTGGATGGGGTATCCCTGGAGGATGTGGGGGTCAGGGAGCCTTGTCTTGAGTTGCCTGAGTGAGGCTGGGAGGCAGGTGGAGATGACTGAAAGGACTGCCTTTTGGGGTTCTACTCTTAAGACATCCTCAGTGTCAGGTGCATTGCTAGACAGAGGCAACCCCATAGTGGTGAAACAGACCCCATTTCTCTGCTCTCCAGTCTCTCTGCATGTTTGAAAGGCCTCTTCTTTTCATGGCTGCACCCCATGCCATCTGTAACCAAGCACCCACCCGCAAAATGTAATTTACGTATAGTTCCAGAAAAACAGAGAGGAATTGGGTGACCAGCTGGCCAGCTTTGTAGGTCAACATTTGTTCGTCTCATTCATTCAAAGTGGGGTTCGATTGTAGTGAGGTGATAATGCTTTACAATGCCGTCTGACATAGTGGTGTGGGATCACATCTCTTCAGATGTAAGGTACCAAATTTTCATTTCAATTCTGCTGTTTTCTGTTTGCTCTGAGTGATATTTTGGGAGCAGTGACATTTTTGGGTGATCGGGTTGCAAAGGCTGGCACAGGCCCTCAGGAGGCTGATGGGTCCCAAGTGTCTGCCTATCGTGCCAAATGACGAAATGGGCCAGCCTATTCTTGGGCAGAGAGGGCAGACATGAAACACACATCTCACAAATAATTTATAACCTATGACTGCAATCAGTGTTCCTCAGTGTTGGGGCTGTAGAGAATTCTGGGAAGCTTCTGAGGTTATTGTAATTTGCTTAAAGACTTTAGCCCTTGGTGAGCCCTCTGCATGAAACATCTAGTTCCTTGCCACTTCTTTGTCGCTGTAGACATCACCTCCTCCAGGGAGCCTTCCCTGATTGTTCTCAAAGGGTGTGTCCCTTCTGCCTCATGACAAGCCCTTCCTTGCACAGTGGGAGGGGAAGGAAGCATGTTGAAGTGTGAAGTTGTACTTCCAAAGTGATAGTTTTATAAACAAATGGAGAATCAAGAACAAAAGAAGTAAACGAATATGGTTTTCTGGTGGGGTGACTGCAGAAAGAAGGAGTCTGGGTGGAAGGACTGGGTGGAAGGCAGCAGGCTGGGAGACAGAGAACACACTTGGAAAGATGTTTGCCCTGTTTCTACCACGCCGGGCTGTGTGACACTGGCCAAGCCACTGCATCTTTCTGTGCTTCCGTTTCACCTTTTATTGAACTATCCTGTCTTGGAAGGTTCTCGTGATTCTGCGGTAGCAGGTATTTGAAGGTGCTTGGCTTTTGAAAAGGGACTATAAACACGGCGTTATGACTGCGTGGTGCTGAGGAGATGACTGCATTGGCGGGATGTAGGAGAGGCCAAATGGCTTCAGGAAAATGACCGCAGAGGTCACCAGGGATGACCACATGCAGGGAAGGGGATCTTGTTTTGAAATGCAGATTAGATCCAGCATGTCCTGAAATGCTGTTTCCAACAAGCACCCCAGATCACACTCTGGGGGGGCAAGCCTCAGCCAGTGAGCACTTTATCCTGAGGACGAGGGGAGCCTCTTGGGGTTCTGTAACTATGGGGTGCTGAGACAAGCCAGCTGCCCTGCAGAAAAACGTGGGTGTATGGAGGCCAAGGACCAGAGGTGGGGGGATTGCTCTGGCCTAAGGGCTGTGGCAGCGTGGTGAAGCTGGAGACGGCCAGCACCGGGCGCAGAGACAGCCTTACTGGCTCCTCGGAGCCAGTTGTTGAATTTTGCAAGCTGGTTGTTAAAACTGTGGGTAGCATGAAATTGGCCACGGTAGAAGCATTGACACCATGAAAACTGACAAATGTTGCAATCTGTGAGGGAGTCAGAGAACCAGCCAGGCTGCAACCAGCTTGTTGACTTGCAAAGCAGGGCCCATTACCCACGAGGGTCTTCATCCCAGGCCACTTGGGAGGGTTGGGGGAAGCCGGCGTTGCTGGGATGGGCGGGTGCTGGCAGGAGTGGCAGTGAGCCCATGGGGGCCGAGGAGGGAGCGGCACGAACACTGTGTCAGGGATAAAAGACAGCGCCAGCCCCTAGCAGAAAGGGGGTGTTGGCCATTGTGTTTGGGGCCCCTGTTTGGCTGTGCCGAGACAGGACCCAGAGCAGCCTTATTTTGATCTTGGTCCACCATCATAAGTGCTGTTGACTGATGTTGGTAGAATTGCTCAGGCCCATACTCTGGACCTGGCCAGGAGAGGCTTGGCTGTGGGGAGCCGCCTTCTGCTTGGGCAGCTATGAGAGACCCCCCCGCCCACCAAGTGCAGAGGCATGGGGATGGATTATTGCCCCTGCATGTAAGGGGAGGCAGGTGTCTGGGCCTGATGGACGTGTCCCCCTCCCCGCTGGGATGCGGGAGCCCAGGTCCTCACCCTGTTGTTGCTCCATCATCTCCTGCCTGCTTGAAGCCAGCTGATTGCTCCACTCACATTCCAGGCCAGGCAGGGTCTAAAGCAAATGCACCTCTAAGCAAATGACTCCAACGTTGGCCTCCCCATCACCCTGAGAGTTTGTTGAGAACTGGGTCGTGTGCTCACCCTCAGCTGCCAGGGAACGGGGCATCTCCCGCAGCGGTGGGCCGTGTGCGGGGAATTTTCTAGGAGCCTAGAGGGAGGGAAACGGATCAAGGCTGACAACGCACAACCGGCCCTAAGAGACACCAGTGGCCAGAGGTGGGGTTGTCTAGAAGGTTCTAGAGGTGAGAGCTGTGCCAGCCTGGCCCCAGTGCAAGGCTACTTCAGAGGCTGCTGGAAGCAAGAAGCGGCAAATGCCCCCCCCACACCCCATCCTTCCACAGGCAGCCTCCCTGCAGTGCCCCCCTTAGAGTTGGTGGGCCAAGTGAAGGTGGAGCCCCGATCCTGACCTCACAGAGCCTGGTAAAATGGTGGCATCTGGCACTGAGACTCGGTAGTTTAATAACGTCCGGTTTAATGACTGGCGGTGGCACGGACAGCTCGTGGTGATGACCATCCGAGCAGTGTGTCTGGGGAAAGCTCAGGGCAGCTCACGAAGGCTTCTCCATCCCCAGGAAGCCTCCTGGTGGACCTAGGCGCCCAGGAGGAGGTGAAGCTTCAAAGCCTGAGCAGGCCGGCCAAATCCTCGTGAGTGGCCCCGCCCCGGGACTCCTTAGCTCAGCTTAGCCCAGTGTGCGCCAGGGCAGCGACCCTGACCACCCGCCGGCTCGCTCTCTCCCCAGGAAGCAGTACCTGCGCCAGGTCATCGCGGAGTATGAGGCGCTGGATCGCGAGCTCCCGTGCATCCGGAAGTTCGCCGCACAGCCCGCTGCTCAGCCCCTCTGCCTGTGCATGGAGACCTCGGTGAGTGGCCCCCGCCCTGCGGCCCCGGGCCCCGCGTCCCCGAATCAGGTATTGGAAAGGGCAAAGGGCTCAAAAGTGAGGCGCACAGGCCCCTCCCCGCCGCGGCGTCGGGAAGGGTAACCCAGAACTGAGTGTGAAGTCAAATTCAATCATCACGTGAACTGACCCCTGCTGACCCGAGGAGAAGCCAAGGGCAAGCAGAGGGGAGACCGAAGGCAGAAAAGAAAGGTGATGGAAAGGCGAGGGACACAGAGGCTTGCTTTCATCGAGTGTCAATTCTGCAGTGTGCACACATTTAACAAAGACTCAGGAAAAACCCCATTTTGGTCAGTTCGGCACACGGGCCATTCGCTGCGGCTTTTTTGCCAGTCCCTGTCCTCAGCCAGGGGAGGTGTGGTTAGGGTCTCAAGCTAAATGAGAGGTGCTCACATTAACAGGGTGCTTGTGCGCCTGGCGCCCCAGCTCACCTGGGTGACATCCCAGCACAGCTTTCGGTTCCTGTTCTAGAGACCACCTCCACCCGAGGCTCTCTCCTGTGGCTTTAAACAGTGGGCCCCCACATGCACCCTGGAGACTACCCTTCTGGAGGTGACCAATTTCATTTCGGCTCCTTAGCAAAGGTGTACCACACAGTCATCTCGTGCCGAAGATGTAGTCAGTCATCAGTCCATGTTTCTGGACGAAAAAGTTTCTGGTTCAGGCAACTCTTCCTTGATTTTTGGCAAACTGGTTTGGTGAGAACTGAGTGTTTTGAGATTTACCTAGCATGACAGGAGCTGCTTTTCGACCCGAGATCCCTGTCCTCCTGGCTCCTACAGGAGCGGAGCGTCAGGATCCTGGCATCAGTGCACCGGCCACTCAGTCACCTGGGGCCCTGGCCGTTCCCGCAGGGAGGCCCAGGGTGGGGACTGGAGGTGCTCTCTCTGATTCCCCAGCCCGAGGAGGACTTTACCCACCTGGAGGTGCTGGAGGCTCTGGAGGCCGAGTTGCCCGGGGCCATGGAGAGCGGGCGCGTGAGCAACATACGCTTTGAGAACGTGAACGTTATCTGCGGGACAGCTGGACACCGGGACCGGTGAGCCGCCGCGCGGGCGGGGGCGGGGCCGGGAGGCGAGGGGCGGGGCCTAGAGTGAGGACGGCGCGGGGGCGGGGCCGGGATGAGCCAATAGGTGGACGACTATCTCGGGGAGGGGCGGGACTGAAGGAGCACGGGGCGGGGCTGAAGGGCGGGGCCTGGGCCGGGCTGAGAGTGAGAGCCAGGAGAGGCGGGGTGGAGCGAGAGGGACCCTGGAGGAGGCAGAGCCTGGAGTGGAGAACCAGACACGTGAGTGACACACGTAGTGCCCGAAATGAGCAAGACCAAGGTTTGGGGACCGGGCCCCCTTAGAAGGCGGCCATGGCGGGGCGGGGCCTGGGCTGCACACCCTGTGGGGCCGGGCCAGTAGTGACCAGGTGGGCATGGACACGAGTGCACAGGTGGGGGCGGGGCCAGGAGGCACCGAGGTCGGGGCGTAGCCACTCCAAAATGCTGAAGCGGGCCGGGCGTTTGGAAAGCTGGCGCTTGGGCAGACCGCGACTGCCTGACAGCCGGGAGAAGACCGGGCTTAGAATGACCCAGGGGAGGTCGAAGTCCGGGTAATCTCAGCAGGAGAGCGGGGGTGGAGGGCTTGGGCAGTCCGGGGTAGAGGGACGCAGCGACGGGTAGAGGGACGAGAGCCGGTAGACTCAGAGTGGCCAGGCAGGGACGATCACGGGCGGGGCGGAGACCACCAGCGACCGGCCCTCCCGTCTTCCTGGCCCCGCCCTCCCGGCCCCGGCCCTTCACCGGCCCCGCAGGTGGCTCATCACGCTCACGGACTTCCAGGCGCGCGCGCGCCTGCTGAGCACCGGGCTCAGCCTCCGCGGGCTCTCGCGCCCTCTCGTGCGCCACGACGAACTGCTGCTGGACGATTACCGCCTGCACCTGCGCCGCTCCCTGGTCCGACGGCGCATGCTCGAGGCTCTGGGGGCGGAGCCGACCGAAGAAGACTGACGCGCGGGGGCCGGCCCCGGCTGCGCTTGCGCACCGCCCAGCGGCGCGAGCGAGCCGACCGGGACCCGAGGGGGCGGGGCCTCCCCAGGAAGGAGGCGGGGCCGGCTCGAGGGGGTGGATACTGTGAGTTTAATTATAAAGAATGACCTGGTACAAAAGCCATTTCTCTCTGCAAAATCTTGGTGGGGAGTCAGGGGGAGGGAGGTGATGGGGGGGTAGGCACGAACCCCCATAATGTAATTCCGCCTCCCTAAATCTTGCCCCGGTCCCTGCAGTGGACTCCAGGGTCCTGATCCCTTCAGGGATAGACTGAAGCGCGCGCGAGGGAAAACCCCAGGCGCCCGGCGATCCCGTCTCCTCCAGGCAGACGTCCTCATCCGCCCCCCTCCTTTTCCTCCTCCCACCCCCCTTGGAAGACAATTCTCGGGCTTTTATTTCAGGTTTTTTTTCTGAATTTTTTTTGTGTGTGTTCTAGGGTTTTTGTATTTTGTTATCGTTCCTCTTTTTGCTTGTCTCTCCTCTCTGCCCCGCGCTGCCCCCCATTCAGTCCCTTCCCCC